AAAATCAATAAAATATATTTTTAAAAAAACGTTCATGTCCTAATCCTTGGAACTTGTGAATATGTTACCTCACATGGTAGAAGGAACTTTTTGACTAAGTGATTAATGTTAAGGACCTTGAGGTGGGGTAGTTATCCTGGATTGTCTTGGTTGCCCCATATAATTGACCTTACAAGTAGAAGAGGGAGCCCTGGCCAGTGTGGCTTAGTTGCTTGGGCGTTGTCTCATGCACTGAAAGGTTTCTAATTTGATTCCCAGTTAGGACATATGCCCGGGGTGCAGGCTCAATCCCTAAAGCGGGGCATGCAGGGAACAGCTGATCAATGTTTCACTCTCACATTGATGCTTCCTAAATTTGTAGCTCTTTTATTTTTAAACTTGTAGCTCTTTTTGAGTTAGGTATCTGTTATGTAAAAATATGGAAAATTAGATTGAATTTCTGCATAAAATCCATATTTTGTTCTTTTAGGTTGCTGCAGATAATACTCTTCTCCAATCACAAGCTGATCCCACAATATACAGTTTAAATCTTCTGCCTGCTGAAGACAGTGGCAGAGAAATGAATCACGGGGAAACATCTGCAGTGCCAGCATTTAACCTACATCATACAGGTAAGGCTGTGCTTTTTAGTAATCAGGTTTACACTTGACAGTTTTATTACAGTCCTAGAGGCCCACTGCACGAAATTCATGCAAGGGGCTTGGCGCTGGCAGCCCCAGCTGCCTTGTGGCCCTGCCCCTGCCTACTGGTCGTTCCAGAAGGTCGTTCCGCCGTCTACTCTAATTAGCATATTAGCTCTTTATTACATAGGGTTATTTAAATTGATTACTTAGAATGAATATGTACATTTGAAAGTTATTGATACAATACTACTAGATTGTTGGCAATTCAGATTTTTGTTGTCATAATTTATCTTTAATGATTGCATTAATCATGTAATTCAAATCTTGTACTTTATAATAGGTGTATGTCTAATACTGTTCATTGTAAAGGTATTGGTCAAATATGGTCTTTGCCTCAAGTACCAAAAGGTGTTTAAAGATTTAAAAAAACACATTTTCTAAAAAAACATGTTAACAATACTAAAATTGGAGAGGTGAACTTGAAATAAATGAAATTGTTAAATCATTATAGTCCATGGAGTAACTTCTGATCAGTTAGATGGGAATTATGAAGGCATATAATTGCAGTAAAAGCAAGCACTTAACAAATGTTCCCTCTCTCCATTGTTGAATTGAGTTAAAATAATGGCTATGGTTCTTTTTGAATCTAATAGGCCAGTATTTTTCAGATAATTAAAAAAATAATGAAGATTGTTCACAGATGTTTTTTTGGCCTTGTGAAAACCAACATCAAAACTACAGTTTTCCAAATTGTATTTTATTAATTTTTGTTTGAATAAGCATATTCATGGAGAGACCCCCATCTGCTGGTTTGTAGAATTGTAACTGCCATCCTTAAGATACCAGTGTAAATCAACAAAAAGTGCCTTCATTGCTTAACCCTTTTCAAGGAAGTTCTTTTTTTTTTTTAAATATTTTTATTTTATTTTTTTATTGATTTCAGAGAGGAAGGAAGAGAGAGAGAGAGAGAGAGAGAGAGAGATAGAAAGATCCATGATGAGAGAGAATCATGGATTGGCTGCCTCCTGCAAGTTCCCCACTGGGGATCGAGCCCACAACCTGGGCATATGCCCTTGACTGGAATCGAACCTGGGACCTTTTGGTTCGCAGGCCGACACTCTATCCACTGAGCCAAACCGGCCAGGGCTTCAAGGAAGTTCTTGATCTTGGTGATGATTAATTTTACCTATAAATGGTTCATTTCTTGGTGGGGCAGAAAGGAATTTTGTATTTCTCCAATTGGCCAGAATCATTGGTACCATTTATGCTCCTCAGAACTTAAAATTACCAGTTCAGGGAGATTTGTAGAAACAGTTCTGGGCATGGCAGTGTAGCTGCTGCCATTTTTCACTGACTTGCTCTCATTTCTTCCTACCTTACTTTCTCCCTCTTTTCTTCTATCTTTGTTAGATGAATGTCCTATTTTTCCAGTCTTTCATCTCTACTGTCAGGTCTGTGGCAGATAATGATCCATGCATGCCTGTTTTTTTGTTTTTTTCTATCATGGTAACTAATATCTTCCCCAGCGAATGATATTTAGACTCTACAGTATGTTACATTCCTTATTACTGGTTTGGGGTTTCATTTGTGTTCTATGGTTTCTTTTTTTCTTTTTATATATTTTATTGAGTTTTTACAGAGAGGAAAGGAGAGAGACAGAGAGCCAGAAACATCGATGAGAGAGAAACATCATCCAGCTGCCTCCTGCACACTCCCCACTGGGGATGTGCCCGCAACCAAGGTACATGCCCTTGACCGGAATCGAACCTGGGACCTTTCAGTCCACAAGCCAACGCTCTATCCACTGAGCCAAACCGGTTTCGGCATGTTCTATGGTTTCTTATTCTCTTCCCTGCTAACTATGAGAAGAGAGTTAAGAGTTAAGATAAGCTGAAGAGTTTACTTAATTTACTCAACCTTTAATCCCTTAATCCTTCTCGGATTTAATGCATTTACTGGACTGGGGAACCTGTGCCAACCTCCTGACATCCCCCTGCCTGTCATTCAGAGAGAGAGTTTAATTGGGGAAAAGAGCATTGTAAGAAGCATCTTGCTTTCTATAGTGATTGCTGAAGAGAGATGTTGCATATAGAAAAGCACGGAGCCCTAGCTGGTTTGGCTCAGTGGGTAGAGTGTCTGGAAGGACGTCTGGTCTATTTTTTTTTTTTTTGCACGCCTATTCTTTTATTGAATATTTGGCAGTGACGGAAAGATGTCAAGTTCAAGAGCGTGGTTCCCGAGAACCACAGGCCCCTGAGAAGTCCTGCCCAGGAGCGGGGGTCCCAGGGGGGCCGCCACCCC